AAAAAAAATTCGTGTTCAGCACCATCGAAAATAGGGGGGTAGACAAAATTTTGTGAAAATTGGAGAGGGTGCCACTCGAGGTGCCACTATAGTAAATAATTACCACAAATAGTTCCAAAATGGACTTGAAAAATTTATTCATATGATAATAAACTTTAAGTCATTAAGAAAATTACCAAACAGTAATTTATATTTAATTGTTTGTTACCTTTAAAGGAAAATGAGAAAATAAATGAATTATGAGCTTGTATTAATTCAGATTTCAGATAACGTACCGTATTACCGTATTCTAGGTTAGAATTAAAAAAAAATTAAATTTTTCCAATATATTTACTTCGTGTTAGTTCTGGTATGGAAACATTTTGTTTCCTGTAAATGATATTTTTACCATTATTATAATTATTATAATAATTCACATTATTTGACAATCTGTAAAAGTTAAACTATGTTAGCGCTTTTTATCTGAAATTATTGCTTTCATATTTATAAAAAAATTATATAAGTAAGAAAGTTGAAGGCAACTTTCTTGTGACATATATTATGTTTTTGATAGAACACTTAGCACATTTTTACTTCCTTCAGATTACAATGATACAAGGACTGATAAGATCTAACTCTAATAATAAAGAAGATATGGCCAAAAAAAGTATGCTAACAATAAACTGTTGTGACTAAATATATGTTGTTATTAGGGGTAGACCTCGTTTAACTGCAAAGATAACGAAGCGCTATATTAAAAAATATTAAAGAATACAGGGTGTTCTGTCAAAAAAATGTATAGGTTTTGCTTTAACCATTGAATGAGAAGCTACTGAGGTACTGTTGAAAATGAGGTTAAATTTATCCTTAAATAAGTCATATTTTTTACAATTTATGATACAGATATTCAAATAAATAGTTTTTATCCTAGGTAGGTTGAAGTGATCAGAAGCGGGATATAAAAACATTTACGAATGTTCACAGCGCATCAGCCAGATAAACGATTAGGTATTATAAATTTTTCTTAAAATGATGTATCTATATGTATCTATATTTAATATATTTAATGATGTATCTATATTTTTTAATAACAATAAATTTTGCCCTACAGTAAAAAAGACAAATTAATGCATTTAACTATGAATAATTTAAATGTGCCATGATGACCTGGTTCAAATACAGGAAAATAAGCCAAAAATTTGATATTTCGTACTGCCTAACTTGATTGTGGCTTTATAAGGACTTGATGATCACAGTCGATCTAAAATTTCAATTAAACAATTGCTATTATCGAAAATAAAAAGAATAGTGAGTTGGTCCAAGGAAAGTGTCTGTCTGTCGGCCATATGGCGTTGTAGTGGCGACACTTTTGACCTCATTGCCTCCGTTCGATCCCGCATAACGTGCAACTAGCCCCCCATATATGGTCATCCTCTGGTAATGATGTAAGGCTGCGGCCAAACTACTCAACAGCATGTCGATGCCGCTGTGTGCGTTTCGTTACGTGTTTTAACTACTTTTAAGGGGTTCGCTTTATTAGAGATTCAAGGTCCTCTTTACTGGAATCGGTAAAATTCCAGGGCCGATTTCAGTCCTCCAAGAAAAATTGAAGAAGTAAAAATACATTCATACCTCCAACCACCAATATTTATTAGATTCTATTAAAATACTTTGAACTAATTTTTTAATTTAAAAAACAATGTTTTTGGTATTTGAGTTTTCCTGGAAAAAACTGTGATACTTAATATTTAATTTAGTGATAGATTTAGTAATGTGGCTTCTACCACCTTTTCAAATATTTGGTGTACAAGTTTGAGAGTACTACTATTTGAGTAATACTTCGATAATATTTAGTAGTATTCCTTCCCGCTCGAAAAAATATAAAAGTGAAACGAATTTGGTAGGCAGCTTTATTGTGCCATCTATTAATAAGAGATGCAACTCATCAAACCATTGTTATTTTATCTAGTAACGTAGAAGAGTAGCTTAAAAAATAAGTTTTCTACAATAATATGTCAAGTCTACTACGTTATAAGTTTGACGTTGGCAATAATCGAAAAATGGTTAAAATCGAATAAAAATTTATAGCCAGTTATTAACAAAATTGCTTGTACAGTTTCCATTTGTGCGTGAACTTTCATTAGTAGCTATACAGCAATATAAGTATACAGGAACAAAACATATATGTATACTTCTTTATTCTCCTAGCAGATAGCAGTTCACATCAATAAAGACTGAAAACAGTCAAATTTTAAAATTAATTTTAATTAAACCTTATCATTGATTTAATTGCATTATTAAATTTTGTTCGTTCTTATATTCATGGTAAAACAAAACACAAAAATTAATGAAAACAAAACATTTTATAAAAAAAATAGACGTAAGGAGGATGGCTCCTAAGGCCGGTTTTTGGCCTTATTTATTTTTAACTGAAAAAATCTGAAAATTTTTTTTTAGTACCTACTAGCAATACTGAATCGTTTCCACCCTAAACAGACCAACCCCTTCACCCTCTTTTCCCCCTCCACCCCCTTAAATGCCGGGGAAACCATCGCTTATTAGAGGAATCTTTAAAGAACTTATGCGAAAGACATTCATTTCCTATGAATCTTAAATATGAAGAGTTTTTTGGGTCGCTGATCACGAATCTGGTCTCAGAATCACGAAATTCAAAATGGCGGATCCAATATGGCGGACAAAAAAATTGAAATGTCTTCAAAATGCATGATTTTTTTGTAATGGGTTTTTTTGGGATTACGAATCTGAAGGCAGAATTACGAAATTCAAAATGACGTATTCCATATGGCGGACAAAAAAATTAAAAAGATCTTCATAATCCTCAAATATTTTCTTTCTTGGATCACTGATTACAATTATGAATTCAGAATTACGAAATTTAAAGTGGCTAATTAAATATGCACAAACATGTATGTATATATTTATAATTAATTATTGATTTTTTTCCTTTTCGTTGTATACATTGGAATTAAAACGCAAAGGGTAATTAGGTGGGTGACTGGCCTTTGCATAGGATATGATCGAGATGAGGAATATAATCGGGAAAAGTAAATCGATAGTGGTAAGAGGGAGTAGAAGCAAAAAAAACTAGAAATAAGATATATGTTAATGAAAGATGTCGATGGTCTCTTGGTAGCACAATGTGTAGATTATCAATGTGTTTCGTATTATTGGTATCACCATATACGTCTAAGCCCACTGAAAGCAAGGTTTTATGTATTCAGTATGACTATTTATTATGAAATGTCTCGTTTCCTCCATACATGTCTGTAAAAATTGGATTTAAGCAGAAATATTAAGCAAAGGTTTAAAATGGAGACACACGTTAGCTTTAAATAAAGTAAAAAAGAAAAAGATAACAGAATCGTAATTTAGCGACCCAAAAAACCCCTCAACACAATTTGTGCATTTTGAAGTCATTTCAGTTTTTATACTCGCCAAATGGAATACCCAAAGACACAAAAACTCCCAACACTCCCATTCGTGCATTTTGAAGACATTTTAATTTTTTGTCCGCCATATTGGATCCGCCATCTTACATTTCGAGATTCTGAGATCAGATTCGTGATCAGCGACTCAAAAAACTCTTCATATGTAAGATTCATAGAAATTGAATGTCTTTCACATCTCTAAGCTCTTTAAAGATTCCTCTAATAAGCGATGGTTTCTCCGGTATTTAAGGGGGTGGAGGGGGAAAGGAGGGTGAGGGGGTTAGTCCGTTTAGGTTGGAAACGATTCAATATTGTTAGTATCGTGAAGTTGAAGTGGAACAGCTCATTTGGGCAGTTAATTTTATACTGCAAGAAAAATTTGTCCGTTTTCTCCCCCACCTAAGTCATTTAAACGCGCAAAACGACAGCTTTCGCGCAGATAAATTGGAGCCTGTCCTGTTTTCCATATATCTCCCAATCCCTTTAGTAAAAGTAAAAGCTAATGTGGAAATGTAATGATAATGCAGAACAATAAATTTTAACAAATACATGATATGACGAAATATATTCTCCAAATGACTATTTAACTAAATATATCCATTATTTAACTGTTAGAAATGAAGAAAATCTACTTATTTATTCCGCAATTAATCAATCGCAATTGATATGGAAGCCGATTACTGAGGATTTATGTAAACAAATTCCGATGTACTATTCGTCATAATTAATTACAAAATCATATCGTAAACAACATAAAAATTATCTTAAATCAGGTTAATATAATAATGGCAGGGGTACTTCATAAACAAGCTCATTTAAGGAAGGCACTTCGACGAATTTAAAGCAATACCAGTTGCAATAATTAATGAGTGATTGGAATCCTATTAAGTAGGTATTGCATCAGCTGCCATAAAGTCTACCGCATAAAGTGTTACATTACCTAATGCTTTAACGAACTACTAAATCAAAGACTGTTACAATTTGTCGCAGTTGCCAATACAATGAAATAATTCCATATTCTATAATAAGCTCATAGCAAAAAGAAAGTTTCCCCCTGCCATTAAACTGTCAGCACACATTTGAAACACATTCCACGGTGACTAATTCATTATCATTTCATTAGAATTTAACAGTAACAACTAGGTGATTGTTATAAATTATTTCCGAGAGCCAACTCCGCAGCAAAACTTTCTCAACCGTAAATTAAACGGAATCATTAATTAAATTTTTTCAACCATAGTTACATTCCTTTAATTCCTTATATTTTTAACTCGACTAAAAAACGAAGTACTAAAATTACACCATAAATCTCTGAAGTTTCATGTGCATGCATGTGCACGTGCCATGTGACAAGCAACAGCTGATACCGTGACATTTCGATGCTGATAGCTCGGCTAGGATAGGAAAGGTCAGAGCCCTTTATGAAGGGGAAGTAACCATGTCGCAGACGAAAACCAAAATATTTCTTACAACTAGGAAGGATTTGTTTGTTTAAGGTCTAAAAATAACTACTGAATAAGCGTCCGACTTTTCAGAGGCGCAATACTCTAACTCGTTCAACCTTGTACCTACCCTTTTTAGCTGGGTATTCATTATGTTATGCAACTCGTTTCGGATGATGGAAAACTTCATCAGGGTGTCGGAGCTGAAGATCGAGCTGAATGCTAGCCCGGGGTAGTCCGCGCACCTTCGGTTCCGACGTTTCTCCCTTTCAGCTACCACTTCAGTCATTTCAGACGTACAGCGGAGCTTGGACAATTCCTCTATCTCTGGATCTATATTGTCTTCCTTGAACTCGTTCTCTAGGTCGCTGAGGCTCGAACCCTCGGCCTCAGGCCGGTGGATGAGGGACATGTCTTGCATCTCCTCATCCCTCTTTTTACTTTTGGACCTTTTCGGTTTTCTCAGTTTCTTGTTGCGGTCCTCTTTGACGCTCTTACTAACTACTTCGTTATTTTTGTCTTCGATGGTGTTGGTGTTGGCGTTACTTTCTTTTTTAACGTTACTAATATCGTCATCACAATTGGTTAAATCTATCACTTCTATATCACAATTATTGTTGGCATTGTTTGGAGTGGTTTTCTTAATTTCTATGCTTGGTTCCTTTTTACCGGGGGAGGCACTGTTAGTAATCACATTGTTTTGATTCGTTACTGTTGAATTTTGCACTGTCACTACGTTATTTTTGCTGTAAATGCTTAGGGGTGCGCTGTTGGAACTCAAATCTAGGGCCGCCCTTCTTCTCGTGCCTTCGTTCCGGGGGTGGTGTTGGTGCCCCCGTTTTTTCGCGCTCCCCACTGCCCTAGGTGTTGACATTTTCGCAGAGATCGAACTTAACGCGTGCAACTCATTTCAGCCATCTTGCCACACTGGCGCCGTTGACTTGGCAGCGGTCGATCCTCGAACCGCTAGCGGCAGCGCGGACAACTAGATTCACTGCACCGCGGGCGCGAGCTCCTTTCGTGTATGCAACTAACTCTGCACGAGCAGCACGCGATTCCATTACGGATTAAAAGAAAAAAAGATGGTGTATGTATTAACGTCATATATTCACCTGTAATGATTAAAAAGTAAAAACACCGGTGTGTGATCATTGACCTAGATTCTTTTCGCGTTTTCTATTTTCTCGGAATTTGTTCAAGTAGGGTGACGTCATGGTCGGCCGAGAACGACTTACGTCACGGGAGAATGTGGGATAGACAGGGACAGATGGCCTGTGGTCGGTCCATATTTGGCAAGAGATCGAGTTCGTGGGTATTTTTAGACCGTTCCAAGGAAACGATTTCTTATGATTTCAGAATTTAAACCAGATCAGCCGCGAAACACAACGAAATCAAATTAGCCAAAACCTTTTAATTAATATGTACCCAGACGACCAGACGTGCACAGTTCCAGTATTTCTACAACGGCTGCTAATTGCAGTAGTAAAAACAATAACAAAATGTAACACATAACAAATAATTTTGAATCAACAATGTTGTACTAGATTTGGCACCGAGTTTAGTATTGAATAATGTGACCTTTAATCTTTATACTGAGTCATTTTTTAAAAGGGAAACGGCTGGATTCATATTAACAGAGAAAAAATAAACTAGGGAGCAAGTGTAAGTATTAATCCTAACAAACGTGGTTCTTTTACACCATAAAAATTTAATGCCATAGGTAAGAAAACTAATGCAATAAGTAAGCATGATAGGAGGATAAGGCACGAGTTCAATTAGGTACTTGTATTTTATCGGCAACCAATAATGAACGTTTTTTTTATAAAAAATATGAGCACTCATTTGAAGTCCTAATGGCTGTGAAAAATACGGCATCACCCAGTCTACGCTAGGAATGTTAATCACAAATAAAGAACTAGACGTAGAATCAGAACCACCAAAAAAACTCAGTAAATCAAAAATTAGAATTGATGTTGAAAAAATTAATGGAGAGTCCACTAATGAAGTTGAGCTTATAGTTCGCGGACAGCGACACTATTGATGTAATTATTCCTACAGCTCTTTAGGCATGGGTGCAAAATTTCGGCGCTGGCTCCCGGACTAATACAATGTCGCGCATCTGCATTCTCTACTTACTTACATCAGCGCTGCCTTTATGTGATCTAAGAAATGGCTCACTTTTTTAACATGGAGTCTTCACTCCTATTCTGCACTCCATAGGTAGATCCATCAGTCATCACTGATGTACTGTCAAAATTTCATGATATTTGGACGAATAGAAGCGGAGTCATTGCGTGTGAAGTGGCACTATGTGTGATTGGTACAAAAATGAGCATCCGCCAAAGGGCTAATATCAAGTTTTTTTAACTTGGTAAAACTTTTACCGAAACGTTTCAATTGACGAATCAAGTTTATTGTTTTTTCCACCCCGGCACTTGGGCCTTGTTAGGCCCCTTGTATACCCCCCTCTCATTACTCGAGTACTTTCCTCCAAACCATCCTATTACTACACGGGTGGCTTGGTGGCAAAGTCTCGTACAATTTTTTATGGATGATGGTCTTGAGTTACAGAGATTTATTGCTCTATTCTCATTACCATTTTATCGGGGACCACACGCAGGCGGAAGGTGTTGAGCGACCCAGGTCTCTGGTAGGCTGCCACAGCCACGTCCCGAGCCTGCCTTAGATCACCCATCCAAGTTCCAGCCTGCGTCCGTGATGTTTACCTCGGCCGATCGAAATCCATCGGCCAAGACACCCGGCTAGGCGGTCCCCGTTCATGAGTGGTATAAGCGGTTTAGAAACGATCGTGAGGAAATGATGAGCAACATGTTGGCCTACCGAAATCCGTGATCATCGCAGATTCTATCAAAACTGTGCGCGAATTCATCAAAGATTAGCCAAAACCTTCATTGAAATTCATGGAAAAGGAATTGAGCATCTCAAAAACATCAATTTATCGCATTTTGGCAGAATATTTGGGTACCGAAAAGTGTGTGCCGACCAAAAATGATCGCTCCAAATTCAAATTCGAAGAATATCGTCAAGGAGGCCAAAAAGGACAAAAAATTCCTTTATAACATTGTGACTGGTGATAAAACGTGGTGTTTTCGATATTATCCAGAAACCAAGCGCCAAAGTGCCGAATGGAAGGCGCCAGACGAACCAAAACCCAGAAAATCTCATTTGTAGAAGTCAAAAGTTAAGGCAATGTTGATTTCCTTTTACGATTCCAAGGCATTGTCCTCAAAAAGTTCGTTCCACGACCGGGCCAAATCGTTTACGTACAATTCTATCTCGGCGTTTCGAAGCATTTGCTGTATCGTATTCGGCCAGAATATCGCACAGAAGGAAGTTGGTGTTAAGTGCATGATAATGCACTATCCTATCGACCAACACTTGTGACCGATTTTTTTTGACTAAAAATCACATTTCAACTGTCAGCCACTCACCGTATTAGCCTGATTTGGCACCGTGCGACTTTTACCTTTTCAGAAAAATGTATTTGCCGGTAAAAGGAAAGGGTTTTGCACACGTAGAAGCCATCCAAAAGGGTTGTACCGACATTCGGAAGGACATACCGGCCAACGATCTAGAACACTAATTCGGCATGCTTTTAGACCGTGAAAATCGCTGTATTGGGTCGAAACTATTTTGAATAAAAAAAAACGGTTGTACCAAAAAACTTTTGTTGTTATTTTTGAAAAGTCCTGTTGACTTTGAAACGCACCTTGTAGGTTGTGGATTAATAAAGTATTTTCGTACAGTTTTCCTGAAAATTTATAAAATGAACATTCTTGTACTTACATTTTGGAGGGCCTTCTCTTTTTCTTCCAATTTTCCGTTAACCTGGGTGAGTTGTTCCTGGGTCTGGTCGAGGTCGTTCTCAATCTGCTGGATCTTCTTCTGGAGGGAACGAGCCTCTTCCTCGCCCTGTCACAAGAAACGATTATTAAGCATCAAATAAATAAGACCGGGCCCCGTTTAGAGCCGTGATGGAAACCAATAATTACCTTTTCAGCGCGAAGGTTGGCATCCTTGGCGAGCTGTTCGTTGTGCGCTGCCCTGTCCAACGCATTGTCCTTCTCAAGCTTCATCGCTTGCATCTTCTTCTTGATCGCGTCCATGGCGGCGGTTTATTTTTTTCGCGCTTACCGAAAGAAAAACTGCAACAAAACAAGTTTGTTTATTGGAAATTCGTAAAATATTCTCGATTACAATTCCCTATTCTACTCGTATAATAAAAATGTTACGGGTGCATTTCGACTTTCCCCTGTATTCATCGCTGGCGGAATTTGCATGAACGATCGAGGTTACAGTGTTAAAATAAGGTAATTGGACTATAGCAGGGGCACAGACACATAGGAATGTGCGAGATTTGTATTCCGGAAAAATTGTTATTCCGCGACGCGTTCCAAAGATTCTAGTCGGTTTGCTCATCAATTAGGATTGCCACCGCGTTCTAAAACTGACATATTCGATCGTTAGAAGTCGTTATTTGTGATAGGAGGACACTGTCTAGCCTTAGATATCGTTATACATTTTGTACAAGGTGGTTGTAAAGTTAAACTTCCCACAGGTCACGATTTGTCATGTCACTTTGAGAAATAATAGAAATAGCAACCTGAGGAAGCAAGAAAAATTAATAAATATTAAAAATATATTGTATTATAGAGTAATTTGTATGAAAAAAATAATAGTGTATTAATATTGGCTGTAACTTCTTTGCAAATAAAAATAAATTATTTTTTGAAACATACCTGAATGTGCCGGTAAATTGCGATACCAAATTCAAGTTAGGGTAAAATATACTTAGCTTTTATTTTCTTAATTCAGTTTAATATGAAGAAAATGGATTTGTAAATTACTAGTGAGATAAAAAGTACTAAATATGTTAATGACCCGATATCTAACAAAATAATGATAATGGAACAAATGCAAAAACATTTGTTTAAATGTCTATAATGACCTTTGAAATAATCAATTTCTTCCTCTGATTGTGAGTCTTCCCACGGAATATAAAATTTACATACGTAGATACTCAAAAATTAACAATCCTAATGAGACTCCCAGCCATTTGAGGTCTGATACGCCACTGTTAATATAACACGAAGATACTGTTAATTATTATTTACTAATATCAAAATTTTGTTTACTATATGCTGTAATAAAGAAAAAAACATTCAATTTTGAAGAAATCTGTGCTTTATTTCATCATTATTAATTAAGATGGAGTTAACTAATAATGAAATCAAAACTTCGTAATATCTGGTGGTATACTGGCAAGTTGAGAAATCTATAACTACTCTTATACTGGGTGTCCCAACCAAACTCTGTTGTTCCATGCCAATTTTATCTACAATTAGTTATAATTTGGCATAGGCACTACCTATTTTGTTTTGTTCTTTTATGTATTCTTCATAAATAAAATAATGCTGTTACAATTTCTTTTAGATCTACATTATTGGAAAATGGGTTTAAGGTGGCCATATTCCTGGCCGAGAAATAGTGAAATTTCTGGCGATTTTAGGTACTGAAATCTTTAAAAGTAAAACGTGTAGAACAAAAGTAAGCACAAAAATAAAATCCTTGATGTTTTGTTTATTCATTGTTACCATTTAAATTTACTCAAATAAAATAATAACTAAAAAAAAGCGTTTGTAAAACATGCGTTTGCTGTTATTCTAACCCCACATTTTAAGAATTATTTTCACGTACTTATAAATAAAAGTAAACAATTTTATATGTAGGACTAAGCAAGTAAATGTTATAAGAATATTTACATGTGGAATTATATATAAAAAAGTTAGTATTTTCGTAGATTTCAGTACCTAAAACCTTGATGGTTTGATCGTTTTTTGCACCTGTTTATTCGTTTTACTGCGGAGTCTTTGAAAATACTCAGGTGGCATGACATAACATTCCTATTATTTG